TTAGCCCAGAGCACCTTGGACTGGCTTAGCTGCAACACTTGTCTGATTGAAAAGGCTGCTAACTCACAGACTTTTTCTCTCCTGAATGAAGCAAATCTTCCCCTGAGTCAAAAGTTCAGAGAGAAACCCAGGCAGAGTAGCTGTCCCACAGTCCTCTGGAGCAGTGATGTCAGATCAAGAATCTGCTATCGCCTCAGACATGAAAACCTCTACCACAACAATGTCACAGAAGAAAAAGGCTACCTCACACACTATACAAGTCCAAAGCAAGATGTCATCTCAAAAAAGTGACATAGTATTGATGGATTTCCTGAAGCCAGAAAGTGTGATGAAACTTTGTGACACAAAATTTAAAAGAACAATGATTGAATATTTTCAATGGGGGAAAGACAAACTTGAAGAATTACAGGACACTGCAAACAAAAGCCAAGAAGAGCTTAAAAATAAATCCAAAACAATGCAGATAAAATAAATGAGGCATTAGAGGCTCCGGAAAAACTAGAGACCACAATCCAAAATATGAGGACTAATGTTTCAGATGCTGTTAACTGGTTGGAGGGGCACATGAATAAAGTTGGAGAGATGGAACACAGAACCAGTGAAATAGAAGATAGAATTGTCACTACTGATTTCCTAGAACAAAAAGCAGAATAAAAAAGAAAGGAAAAAGAAGAAAACCTAAAAATAATGTGGGACAACATCAAGAGAAATAACATGCGCATAGTTGGAATTCTAGAACAAGAAAAAGCAAGTAAAGGCACTGAAAAATTGTGGAAGAATTTCTAGAAGAAAATTTTTCAGGCATAATGAAGAATGAGAGAATATGAATAGACCCCAAATGAAAAACACCAAAGTATAGTGTAGTCAAATATGCCAGATCCAATGATAAGGAGAGAATTCTGAAAGCAGCAAGGGCGAAACAAAGAGTAACCTATAAGGGAGAACAGATAAGATTAAGTGCCGATTTCTCAGCAGAAACCAGACAGTGGAATGATGTATATTGAACACTCAAAAAACACAACTGTCAACCAAGAATATTATACCCATCAAAACTGTCCATCAAATATGGAGATATCAAAATATTCTCAGAAAAACAGAACCTAAGGGAGTTAGTAAAAAAACAAAAAAAAAACAAAAACAAAAAACAGACCAGTGTTACAGGAAACACTGAGAGACGTCCTTCTTACAGAGGTGCCACAGAAAGGAGGATGGACCAATGTTAATGAGCAACAACACCTAAGAGAACTCAACAAAATGAAAGCAATGAAATCTTGTCTCTCAAAAATCGCACTGCATATGAATGGTTTAAATGCACCACTGAAGAGAAAAAGGGTAGCAGATTGGATAAAAACCCCAAATCCATCAATATGCTATGTATAAGAGACACACCTGAAAATTGAAGATAAAGAAAGACTAAAAATAAAAGGGTGGGGGGAAGAATATACCAAAAAAAATGGCAGCCAGAAAAAAATAGTAGTAGTAATATTAATCTCTGATAAAATAAATTTCAATGCAAAAACCATCACAATGGATAAGGAAGACCACTAAATAATGAATAAAGGGTCAGTAGAACAAGAGACCATAATAATAAAAAAATCTGTGCACCAAATGATAAAGATGCAAAATATATAGAACAAACATTAACAAAACTGAAAAAGGAAATAGACAACATCTCTATAGTAGTTGGAGACTTCAATACACCACTCTCAAGAAAAGATAGAAATACCAGAAAGAAACTCACCAAAGATGCTGAAGAAATAAGCTACACAATAAACCAACTTGATATCATAGATATTTATAAGCTGATGAACCTAAAAAAAAAATGGTATAACTTCTTCTCCAGTGTACATGGAACATTCTTGAGAATAGATCACATTTTAGGTCACAATGCAAATATCAGTAAAGGCCTTTGACAAAATCCAATGCCCTTTCCTGATTAAAACACTCAACAAAATAGGAACAGAAGGGTATTTCCTCGACATAGTAAAAAGTATATATGCAAACCCAAGAGCCAACATTGTTCTCAATGGAGAAAGATTAAAGGCATTCCCTTTGAGAACAGGAACTAGGCAAGGATGCCCACGATCACCTCTCCCACTCAATAATATATTGAAAGGCTTAGTGATAGCAGTATGACAAGAGAAAAAAAAAGGTATCCAAATTGGCAAAGAGGAGGTAAAATCTCTCTATGCAGATGATATGATAGTATACTTAGAAAACCCTCAAGACTAAGCAAGGAAACTACTGGACATAGTTGACCAACTCAGCAAAGTGGCAGGATACAAGATCAACTTATGAAAATAAATTGGATTTCTCTACGATGGCAGAGAACACAGAACTGGAGCTAAGAAAAACAATATCCACCAGAATAGCTAATCACAAGATGAAATACTTGGGAGTAAATCTAACCAGAAACACAAAGGACCTATTCAAAGAAAATGAGAAAACATTACTACAAGAAGCAAAAAGTGACCTGGAGAAATGGAAGAATATACCTTGCTCTTGGATAGGAAGACTCAATATTCTGAAAATGACAGTTTTACCAAAGGCAATCTACATGTTCAATGCAATCCCAATACAAATACCAATTCCATTCTTCAGCTAGATGGAAAAGGCAATTTCCAATTTCCTTCGGAATGGTAAGAGACCCCGAATAAGCAAAGCACTCCTTATAGAGGGAAAGAAGGTAGGAGGTATTTCACTCTCTGATTTCAAATTCTTCTACACTGTCATGGTGGTCAAGACAGTGTGGAACTCGTACAGTGACAGACATATAGATCAATGGACCAGAATTAAGAACCCAGAAATAGCCGATCTACCTATGGTCAACTGATTTTTGACAAGGGGATGAAATCAGTTAGGTGGGGAAATGACAGCCTTTTAAACAAATGGTGTTAGCAGATCTAGGAAACTTTCTGCAGAAAACTCAAGGAAGACCCACACCTCACACCATGCACAAAGACCCACTCAAAGTGGTTCGAGGACCTAGAAGTAAAACCAAGGACTATAAACTTTACCAGAGAAAAGCTTGGAAGAACTCTAGAAGCCCTAATCCAGAACATGAACAGCATTCCGAGCATCCTGAAAACAATTCCAATTGGATAAAATAGATGAATGGGACCTTCTAAGAATCAAATCTCTATGCACATTCAAAAACTTCTCCAACAGGGTAAAAAGGAAAGCCGCAGACTGGGGAAAAAAAAATATTTGGTCATGACATGACTGATAAAGAACTTATATTTAGAATTTATAAAATACTCAAACACAACAACAAAATAAAGGTAAGCAACCCAGTTGCAAAATGGGCACAGGATTTGAATAGACACTTTACCAAAGAAGACATTCAGATTGTGAACAAACACATGAAGAAATGTTCAAAAAACCTAGTCCTAAGAAAAATGAAAATCAAGATAGCTATGAGATATCATGTCACCCCAGTAAGAATAGCAAAATTCAACAGAACAGCAAACAGCAAATGCTGGCACAGTTGTGGAGAAACTGGGACCCTTATTCACTGTTGGTGGGAGTGTAAAATGGTGCAACCACTATGGAAGGCAGTAGGGCACTTTCTCAAAAAGAAATAGAAATAGAAATACTATTTGACCCAGCATTTCCACTTCTGGGAATATACCCTAAAGAAACCATAACTGCCACCCAAGCAGATATATGAACACCCATGTTTATTGTGGCTTTGTTCACAATAGCAAAGAGATGGAAACAACCCAAGTACCCATCAATAAACAACTGTATAGAGAAGCTATGGTATATTCACACAATGGAATAATATGCAGCACTGAAAAACAAGGAACTAGTGAAATATTATACAAAATGGCTGACCCTGGAGGACATTATGCCGAGTGAAATACCTCAGTCACAAAAGGACAAATACTGCATAATGGCACTGTTGTAGAACAGGACTGACTTTGGGATTGTGGGGAAACTAAAACAAGAGAGCATACTTGATGTACACTGCATTGAAACAGATGAGGAACAGAACTGTTTGAAAGAAATATATGATTGATTAGGTTATTATTTCTGTGACAACAGTCCAGAATAAGAACTAGATAGTAAACTGGACTAGAGTGGGGGTGGGGAATTGTACAACAATGAAATGATTTTTTTTCTCCCCCAAAGAGAAAAAACAAACTGGGGGCGGGAGCAGGGAGGTAAATGTGCAACAATGAATCCAAGTTCTCTATAAACTTTCATAAAAATCTCAATTAGAAAAAAGACTGAAAAGAGAAGCTCAAAAATGAAGAGTAAAATAAAATTTGAAATTATTTCTATCTTGAATTGACTATTCTCTGTGGAGCATAATGGTTTTAATTAGGAAAATGTTTCTTCTACAAGTACAGAAGTAATTAGTAAAAGAACTGACCATATTCTAGAAGTGCATGGTATTCTTAATTTTCATTTTGTTTTGCATTGGAACATGTTTTAGTATAAATAGTTCCACAGCTAATGTATTTTTGCCTCCATTCTTGTGTGCTGTCGGGTTGCCTGTGCCCATAATGGCCCTATGTACAGCAGCTCTGAAGCCTGTCCTGTCCTGAGACAGTCTCACTAATTTCAACACACCAAACTTTGTCAGTCCATTTACGTCCACTGTCACATGTGTGACACCCTGGCGCATGTGTCTTGTCCCTTTTCTTTCCCTGATACATCAACATCCCTTGCACTCCTCCCTACCTGGTTGAGCACCTCCCTCCTCCAGCCACCCCTTGATATGATGGCTTAGGCCACAAGCCACTTCTGTGATGTCTTGCAACACACACTGCTGCTGGTTTCTCACCCTGATGCTTATCCCATGTTTAGGAGGATAAAATCCAAATATCAAGTATCAACATCAGGGAAAGACTTTTGCCTCAGGCAGTAATAGGGAAAGGTCCTTGCTACTGATCTGCTAAGTTTTCTAACTTGGTGTCTCTCTTCCTTTTGCACTTTACTGCTGTCACAAAGTGATAATTTCCAAGGTGAGGTAGGTCTCTTCTAGATCTGGTATGGTGGTGGTGTTTACTTGTCTTGTGCGAATCTATGGGGTTCCTGGTGCTGAGTTAGGAGGTCGGTGGTGAACACTCAGACCCTGGCTATGTGTAGAGCACAGATGTTTCCAACACAGGCTTGGGACTGAATGTTCTGTCCAAAAAGCCTGATTGTTAACAAGCCCGATGGAGTTCTGGGATAATGGGCTTTACCTGATTAAGAAGATTAGAGGGTGGTCTCAGATCCTATCTTGTGCAAATCTATGGGGTTTCTGACCTGAGTTAGGAGGGCCAAAGGTGAAAACCCAGACCCTAGCTGTGTGTTGAGCCCCAGCGTTTCCCACACAGGCTTGTATATAGTTACTAATGTTTTTTTTTTTTTTTTTTTAAGTTAAAGCTTGACAAATAAACTACCTCTTTATGAATATTTTGCTAAATTTAAATATTGGGAAAAGCAGGATTATTTGGTCACCAGCTCTGCAGATGGAATCTATTGGGAAGAGAATAATCTTAGTTCAGTAGTCACTTGGAGTCAAAATAGACTCTATAGCAACAGTTCTGTTTGGTTATTTTTTTTTCTTAGTGTGTTAGAGTGTCGAGTACTTGGAGCGAGTAGGCAGACAATCAGCCTTGATGGTTCTGTGAACTATTTCATGTAGAGATTTATCTGAGGATATTGTGGGTAGTGAGCAAAGGAAACCCTTCCTTGGATTTTGTGTTATGAGCCTTCCAGCCACTTTTCTTAGACTCCCCAGTGGAGAACAGTGTTCTCTGTTGGAGAACATTCACTCCCTGGTGGGAACAATGGTACTATAGAAAAAAAGTTTTTACTCATTGTAGACAGAATTTTTAAAGATAGAATAGAAACCCAGCAGTTAGTGGACTCCTGACATTTTCATCGTTCTCCACCACAACTGCTTGTGTGTTACTAAAAGCTGCAAGCTGGCCACTTCCATTAGCTCCCTAATTGGCTTCATTGCAGTCTTCACAGCAGGAGCAGGGTTCTTTTAAGAGCTGAATTAGATCAGTTCAGCCTTTTGCTCAAAATTCCCCGAAGGTTTCTTATTTCAAATAAGATATTTCTTTAGGAATCTTTTGGCTGTTTTGTGAAACTTAGTTACTATAAATATTGAGAGAACCAGAATGATGAGGTTGCTACAGTTAGAATAAAAATCTCAGTCCTTTCTATTCCTGAACAAATCCTGTTGGAACTCTGGTGGCATAACCCATAGCAAATTGTCTCCAACAATTCATATCCACCAGTGGCTTCTCAAAAGAATGATGCATAGTCTTTTCTTGGTAAAGATTTGGAGTCTTAGAAACCGAATGAGGTGGAAACCAACTCAACAACAGTAAGGAGAAGAGATGAATAGGGCTTTCAGGAATCTCTCTGGGTTCTTCACAATGGTTATATACTTTGCTACAAGTTGAAAAATCAACTACTCAATTCTTTCCAGAGATGCTTTGAGAGATAGTTATAACCTTCTACTTCCAAAAGATCATAAACATGAAGACTCCATGGTGCGCAGTTCTACTGTGACGACACATTTAAGGACTCCTAAGAGTTGGAATTGACTTGATGGCAACTAAAATAACAATATAACTTTGAGAAGATGACTTGTTTCAAACTTACGGCTTCATGTGGGGCTTCCAACATAATCTGTCTTGTACCTCTTTGACACAGGAACGGGACAAAGCCAAGTTGACTGATTTATATAAATTAAATCTTTTGACCTTGATTAATTAGATCAGACAGGTACTGAGGGGTTTTATTCCAAACTCTTGCAACATTAGACAAGACTTTTAAAGTTTTGCCTGATGTAAAATATGTATTTCTTGTGGCCTAGTGGCAAGAAGCTACACTGCAATCCCAGATGTGCCTGGATTAAATCCACCAGATGCTTTGCTGGAGAAGGAGGGACAATCTCCTCCTGTACCAGTCAGATCTGATTTGATGGTACAATGCACAAAAAATAATAAAATAAAAAATTAAAAAGCAAAAAACCATGTATTTCTGGTGATAAAAAAGGCACAGACATTTATTGAACACATTTCTTTGCTAGATATTAAAATACAAAACTCAAACTCATTGTAGTTGAATTGGAATCAAGTTATAGCTAACGTTCCAGTGCAGTTTTAGAGGCTATAAATCACAACAGAGGAGGTTCCCCTTTTACCCCCCATGAAGCCACAGGTGGATCCAAATCACCAGAGGTACCACCTTTGGGTAGTGTTTAAAGAGGAGAAAATGGGACATTGGCACACAGGTCCACGAGTGTCTCTCTGAAAGTGTCGGAGGGAATAAGAACAGCACAGTCCCTCACTGTCCCAGAGCAGAAAGCAGATAATGAGCCTATAGCCCTGCCCCATAGTACCCCACCACCACCAAGAGGTTCTTTTATTTATTGCTGACTCACAGACTCGCAATTATGGTACCAGCAATGGGGTTTATTAGGGAAGGAAGTTGGAGAGTGGAGGAGACAAAGAATATCACCCAATGCAAATTCAAGTTTTAGCCAAACCTTCCCAAGGCACAACTCCTCATTTAGCATAGGCTCTAGTTTCAGTTCAGCAGTCAAATCCCTCCCGATCATCCAGCAATATTTGCCTCAGAGCAGTTATAAATCAACTTCTCCTTCAAGCATCTGGCAAGAACAGCAAAAACCTTTAATGTTGTCCAGCACAAATGCAAGAAGCTTCAAGTCACACCTTGCCACAATTTCTCGATAGCAGTTCCACAGTTTGTCTACCAGGGTCTCCCTTAAGTCTTTCTTGCCTCAACTCTTGCTGCCCAGTGTGGGAAGCACTCTTTTCTTATCCTAGTCCTACAGCTGCTGCTGATTTGCAAGACCATGCTGACTTGCAAGATCATGTGTCTTCAGTTAAGGTAGCTGCAGACCAGAGAGGGCTAGTTGTAATGGCTTAAAAAAAAAAAAGAAGAATAACCAACTTTTAGGTCAGCACCACCGGTAGCTGTACAACTCCTTACATACTGTATCAGTGAAATTCCCCCTCTTGAGTTCTAGGATGTGGCTCACATACTTTGAAGATGTTGTCAGGAGGGACTGATCATCTTGCTGGCAGAAGTGAGGATCAGACAACTAGAGGAGACTTTAATGAGATAGAGGGCACAGTAACTTCACAGTGGGCTCAAACATATGAGATCCTGAAGATAGGATGGGGCAAGGTTCAGATCTGTTTATAGGGTCAGTATGAGCCTACAGCATAGTCTACAGCATGTTGACTCTACAGCATAGCATCTAATATCAACAAAAAGATTGTGGCTTATTTCTGGGAAGTTTCAAATTAGAATTGAAAATAAGTAAGGTAGAAATAACAGACATTAGATTAGTACAGTAGGATGGGTTTAAAAATGTTCTGTTTAAGCAAGAAATGAAGTGGGTTTTTTAAATGACTGTATTTCCTCACTCCCTTATTGCAGTCCAACCAGAACCAACTCGTAGCTGGCCGAAATTGCTTATCTATCTCTCCCAGAGAAGCTGGTAGATTCAAACAGGCTGCTTTTGGTTTGGTAGCACACATCCTTTCTAGGCCACCGAAGACAATCCTAGGAAGTAAGATTGAGTAGTACAGGTAGATATAAAACACTGGAAAGAATATAAACAGAAAACAGAAAATATAATCATTTTTACCTTTCTCCAAATTTGAAAGTAACTTGTAATTAAATGTCACAATTTCTTTTTCTCTCTTAAAAATAAAGGTAAAATAATAGTTTACCATAAATCTATTTCCTTTGTTGTTTCATATTTTATCAATATTGTAGCTAAATGTTAAAATGTCTATGGAAAAAAAAATAGAAATTCTAGAAATGCTAGAGAGTAGTTTTTCCAGGAAAAATGATCCCTGTCTCCACTGAGACTTGAACAGGAAAAAACAACAATTAAAAAAAAATAGTGAGAGAGTGTCTGAGGACAAAATTATAACTGTCAGAAGGGTGTGAAAATTACCAAATGACTTACTAAAAGAAACAGTGAGATTTTCTTCACTGGAGAGTTTAAAGGAAAGAGTATTACTGTCTTCCAATTATGGTTTCGTGTCTGTTTTCCCCAGAGTTGTGTGTACTTGAAACCCCTCCTGGCCCCAGAAGAAGAATCTATGCTCCTGATGAGATTGTATGCTTTGGAATCACTTTTCCTGAAAAGGAGAAGCAAAAGGGTACTTGAAGAAAATATTAAAAATTATGAAGGACATAAAAAAGGCCAATCAATCTTTTCTTTTCCCCAGACCCGTAATAAGTGAACGAGGGTTATTTGATGAAATTAAAGAGTAGCAAATTAAGTGCTAATAAAAAGAGATAGTCGCTTATATAATTCATTGGCATGGGAGGTCACAGAGGCAAATGCTGTAGCTGGATTAAATATAGGCTGGTTAATTTTATGATCACTAATGATATTTTTCGCAATTGAGGCTGATATAGTGAAATAAGCCATCCTATTACATTATCCATTATAGGGTTTACCAAGACCTTTGAAAAATAGTGTCATAAGGGTAAGATCAGACCTCCCAGGTTATAACCTTTGATAGGGAATCTTACAAAGTACTGGTTTTTAAAGTCCATGCCCCAACTCTTCTTATTGTTATATGCCATCATATAGCTGATCCTTCAGTGGATTTTCAGAGGCAGTAAATCACCTGGGAGGAGATTGCTCATCTTTCTTCCATGGAGTAGCTGTTGGATTTGAATCATGTACCTTTGGGATAGCAGTGTAGGGTCTTACCTCTAGACCACCAGAGCTCCCCAAACCCACAGGCATCCTATTCAGTCTTCAGTCCCACTTCTCTTTTGGAGATCCAAAAGTTTATTTTAATCAGAGGCAGTGGAAAGAGACAGTGTCTAGAATGAAGCCATTTTTTGCCTTTTGGAGCCATTAAATTTATTTTTTTATTATACTAGTTTATTAATAAATTTAAATACATTGTTTTTCACATCAGATTCTTCAAATTTCCCTCACCCCCCCAACCCATGAAATTTTAAAAACCTGGTGATTAATCCCCCCTGCCCTGCACATTTTCATCCCTCTGCTTCCACCCTCCCCCACATTGGATCCTCATATTCATTTGATAATAATGTTTTTATACAATATTTGTCCCTGTGGGTCTGAGTTCATTTACTCAACATAATACTCTCCAGTCCCTCCCAAGTCAGGTAATAATTTACAAAATTATTGCTCCTGCATGCTGCATAGTATTCCATTGTATGAATGTACCATAATTTCTCAATGCGTATGATTGTAGTTGGATATCAGTTAACTTATTGAATGAAATTCATGTGTCAATCAGTTTGTGTGAATTTTCAATGTTTCTGTCCAAATGTATAAAGATACATACATTTAAACAAATCAATACCATCTAGTGTAAGAGGTACTGTACTAAGTGTAGACGGCTCAGTAACACAAAAGCCCAAAGAAAAAGGGATAATAGTAGTTACTGCTATGAAGTCCAGGGGAGTGTCATTTGAACTGAGACTTATGGGATGACTGTAATTTCACTGTGCTGACAAGATAAGGAAGGACATTCTACAGAGAAGAAATAAGCAACACGCACAGAGCCAGAGGTAGGACATAGTATAATGTGTCAGAGAACGCCTGGTCGTTTAGAAAGACAACTCTGATGTCTTCGGGGTGAAGAGTTTCACTGCCAACCTAAAAAGACAGGCAGTTTGAATCCACCAGCCTCTCTACAGAAGAATGATGGGCAGGCTCTTCCTTTAGGATGTACAACCGCCTTGGGGTCAACTATATGAGTCAGTTCTGACTTGATCGCATATAAAAGTAACAACATACTCCACGGTTAAAGGAGAAAGAGGTAGGAGAAGATACATGAGAAGGAGAAGTGAGTCCTACATTTGTCTCAGACCTATCTCCAGCATCACTACTTTCAGTGGGGAAGGTGGTCATGGATGGCTTAGGGCAGAAGAGGCAAGGCACTTGAAGTTCTTGCCTCACAATGCCTTGTCCCATAACGATTGACTTCCCCTTCTGAGCACTGTCATCATTTGATTGTATTTCACATAACTTCCTGCTTCACTCTTTCTTGCTATTGGCCTGAAGCTGTTTTTTTCATGATCTTTTTTTTTTTTTTAATTTTTTTATTTTATCATTTTTGTGTGAGTGTACCGTCAAATCAGATCTGACTGGTACAGGAGGAGATTGTCCCTCCTTTCCCGGCAGAGCATTTGGTGGATTCGAACTGTGCGCCTCTGGGATTGTAGTTGCAGCTCCTTGCCACTAGGCCACCAGAGCTCCCCCTTTTTTCATGATCTTAAACACTATTTTTAGGGGGTGGGAGGCATGAAGAAGAACTCCTGCTACTTTGAGAAGAAGGAGGTCTTATAGGTCTTAGATTACTTGGTATCTGCTTGGTATATCTGTTTGGTCTTACTCCCTTGGTATTTACCTTAGACTAAATCAGTCTTTGGGTGGGAAAGAAGAGGTGGATTTCATTTGCCTGACCTTAGGCTCCTGATTTCCTTGGCTCAGAAAACAAGCAGGAAGACATACAATGTCTTTGAGGAACAGATGGATTAAAATGTTAAAAATCTGTTTTGTTAAATTACTTCAGCTAACAAAATAATTTAATTAGGAAAAAAATATCACCCATACTCTGCTCCCTTTTAAGTGATATTTAATTAAGAATGTCATTGTTAATCACTCAGACTCTTTTGCTTGGAGTCCCGTACCATAAATATTAATGTTTTTAAGAAGAATCAAATGGAGATGGATGAGTGAATATCTTTTATGAGAGTTGATTTTCTTTGTGTTCTTACCTTTGTGTAGATAAAAATGGTTTAGTGGTATGTGGTGTAACCCGAACACTACACAGTTAGCAGGTTTTTTCCTCCACATTTTATAAAGAGTTGTGTAATTCAAATATACTTTTTAATAAGTAACCTTTTCCACAGTAGTTTTCAGGACTCTTCTATGAAGATGATATTTTAAGGACATGGATTTGCTAGTGGAAAACTCTCAGTGCTGTTGATTTAGAACCCACTCATAGCTGATCCTCCAGTGAGATTTAGAGAGGCTGTGAATCACACAGGAAGAGACTGCCCATCTTTCTCCTGAGAAGCTGCTGGTGAATTTGATTCCCCAGACAGGTACCACTTTGGGGTTAGCAGCATACTATGGATGAGGTCTCCAGAGTGGATGGATGTGTGCCCAATTTACTGTGAATTACACTGCTGTAATGTTGATCACATGAAAGTGGATCAAGCTGAAATATATGCAGCCAGGACAGTATGTTTAGTGTTATACATTCAAAGATAAATAAGATCATGACTCATAGTGACTCCAAGAGACAATTTTATCATGACTCCTTACTGAATCAATTGTTGTTCATAGGTTTTCCGGAGGCAAGCTATTATGGGAGTGGATGCCACTCCTCCTTCCACGCTTGTTTAATCGGGGAGCTCCACCCCACTCTCTGTCTGCATTGGGTAGCCAATCATTAACACATTTGACACATCAGTGTCACGGTGTTCAGCCTCACAGCAACCATAAGTGACTGCGGTATGGCAGCTCCTACATCAGGGCTATACGACCTGGAAGAATGTCTGCACAAAAACAATGAAAGACAGGCCCAAGGGCTGTGGATTAAAAGTCACCCACCTTTGGCTTGGTAGCATCGCTTTCTGTCCACTGGGCCAACTGATCTCTTTCTCTATGCTGATATTGTTGTTAAGTGCCGTCGAGTCGCAGGCAACTCATAGCAACCCTATGAAGGAGAGTCCTCGATGCTTGGGTGCCTTTCATCCTCTCTCCAGGTTCATAGGGTTTCCGGAGGCAAGCTATTACAGTATGATATATTTAAGAATAGTTTTTTGGTACTGTTAAGGGATTCTAGCTCATAGCTCATAGTGTAAAGATTGAAACCTTGTCTGAACCTGCACTACCTAACAGTCTCTACCATACCTAATCTTATCTCCCATCTATGTTGTCATTATGTGCTGTTGAGTATGACTCAGGGTGACTGTGAACAAAAGATCTGAACCCTGCCCTGTCCTGTGCCATGTTGTCACCTCTGATACACTGGAGCCCATTGTTGTAGTCACTGTTGTCAATCCATTTTGTTGAGGGTCATCTTCTCTTTTTTATGACCCCTGCCTTTCCAAACACAGTATCTTTTTCCAAGGACTAGCTTCTCCTAACAACATGCCCAAAATAGATGAAGTTTCACCGTTATTTTCTCCAGGGAGCACACTGGTATATCCAGTCTCTGCTGTGCTTCAGCCCATCTAGTCCATTTATCCTTACTCACACATTGTTATCAAGTCAAAATCAACTCATAACGGACCCTCCAGTGGGTTAGAGGCTGTACATCACCTGGGAGGAGACGGGGACATCTTTCTGCATTGGACTGACAAGTGGATCCAAACCACCTACCTTTGGGATGATATCTAACTCCTTACCCATTGGGCCACCAGAGTAGAGATACCCAAACAGTAGCTCTGCTTGAGGAGCTGCCAGTGTTACACAAAACTAATACTTAGAATCTTGCAGAAATTCCAGACACCTAAAAGAGAATGGAAGATAAGAACGAGGTAGTAGGGGACATTTTAGAACCTAAGAAACAAAGATGTCGCCTGAAATTTTGAATTGCTCTTGTCTTTTCCATTTTTAAAATGTCCCTCATTTAAATGTTGTTCTTTCTAGTGCATTTTGAAAAATTATTCTTTGAGGAAAGAATGGGCTGTGCAGTGTCAACATCTAGAAGATATTAATCTTGTCAGGAAGGGGTTAGTAATCAGAGATTCCTTTTAGCTTCAGCATTAATTCACAGAAATATCCATTAATCGTTTGCTTTCCTGGACTGAATATTTACACATGTTTTTGCTGTCAGAATCAAAGCACATGGCATAGGTAGTACATGTCCCATTTTTAAACATGTCCATGCAATGAATAAATTCAGCTTCCTCCCATTCCAAATGTACTTGATTTTAAAGGAAGTATTCCTTTCCTTGACTGGACTTCCTTAAAAAAGATTGCTTATTTATAGGTGTGTGGAAATGAAACATAAGCTTTTTAAAAGAGCTTTGATGTCAAGTGATAGATAAATGGATCCTTTCAAAGACTGGTAACCGGGGAATGTATATACTAAAATGTAAGTTTTAGAGTTATATTTCTTTCCCCTTTAGACCTTAGCTGGATCTCCAAAGTGCAAGTGAATCACCCAGCAGTTCTGAGGCGCGCAGAACAGATCCAAGCTCGCAGAACCGTGAAAAAGGAGTGGCAAGTAAGGGTTCTTCGTCAGCCTTCTCTTCTTGTGTTTTACAATATGTGGTTTCTTCCCTCAAGGCCCTACTATTGAATTTTGCTCAAGATACATCTAAACTTAAAAAATTGCAACTGCCCATGACTTGTTTTAATAATTCATATATGATGGTGATAGGTTGGAGAAAGGTTACACATTTATCCAAACAAGTTAAAAATCTTATCGCACTTGAGTGGCAAAGCTGCAAATGATTTCGAGGCATCTTTATTCATGAGTGAAGTAAATGGCATATTTTCTCAATTTATTTATTCAGTTTCTTAGACATGCCCTGTTTGGCTGTCTCTGATTTTAATTTTACAGCCCTAACATCAGAATGTGGTATGTCTACTTTTGATAGTTGATGCGATAGTTGGCTGTGATAGTTGGCTTTCTTTGACCATCATGCTTACCTTACTATTAATTTTCATAATCCATTTTTCAAATTTCAAAAAAATGATGTTTTGAAGAGTACTTGTGGTCAGCATGTTCTTCAGTGTGCACCACCCAAAGACGTGCTGTGCATCAAATCCATTCATTTTACAGGTGAGGCAGAATATTGTTGTTGAATCCTTTAGGTAGACACTTCACATTTCACTTCGGAAATGTTGATTAAAAAGATAAAAGGAAAATGCCCAGTGACTTGTGAACTAAGAATATTGTTTCAGAAGACAGAATTTGATTAAACTAAAAAAAAAAATGATAACCGAAAATGACAAAATCCCAAAACCAGAAAGCAAGTTAGAATCTCTTCTTTTTATAGTTTAACATTCCTGATTCCAGATTTAGCAATAAAATATATGCAAGAGATCGTCCTTCTGTCTCTCAAATTTTCCACATCGTGGTGAGCCCTTTGTGGATGAGATGGAGACAGTTTCATCTAGTATGAGTTTTCATTTGATGTATCTTTGGGAGAGGAATGTTTTTGAAAGGCTAGAGGTGAATTACTCTCACACCTTATCCTTTTAAAAAATGTTGAATCATATTTATTTTCTTAACTCTCTTAAGCAATGCTTCTATTATACAGACAAGTGATACACATTATAACGATGTAGATAACAGTTTCCAAAACTCTTGTTTGTTCTAATGATTCTCTAACTTTGTAAGAAATTGTTGGTCCCCCACCCCCATCTTATTTTATTTATTTTTTTAAACCAGGCTGCTTGGCTCCTGAAAGCTGTTACCTGTATAGATCTTACTACCCTTTCTGGTGATGACACATCTTCCAACGTTCAAAGGCTCTGCTACAAAGCTAAATATCCAATCCGGGAAGATCTCTTAGAAGCTTTAAATATGAACGATAAAGGTAAAGTAGTAAATAATCTGGCCATTGTTTACCTGGTGATACTATCTGTCATTAACTCTACAAAGATTCTATACAAGATTTAGCTCCTTTCCTGATATCAGTAATAAAATCAGTAAGAGACACTCTTGCTGTGTGTACACAGACAGATCATTCAGACTTTTCTTTGAAAAACAGCAGGAAGAAAATCCGATTCTTGTTTTTTAGGTCATGATTTCATCATGATTTAAAGTTGCTGGTAGAAAGTTTCTTTATATTTCTTTCTGATTCTTTAGTTTGGGAAATTTTGTATCTAGTGACTCTTCAAATACTTCTTCTAAATCCCTAGCCTCATGTGAAAAAGCCAGGCTCATTACTTAATAATCACATCTCATACATAAAGTATTTTTCTATGAGTAAATGAAATACTTTTGAGACTAAAATGCAGATGGGATATATTGAATGATTTTAGATTAGGTTAGATCTTTTGAAGAAAAGGCATATTCACTCCCTTAACATATATGAGAAAAAGGACTTTCTAAAGGTGCTGTGAGTTTAGATCCTTAAGATTTGAGAATTGGAGGAGACCTCTGAGAGATCTTTAGTCTGAGTAAGGAGACCTTGACCTGGGAGACTGTGTACTATGTCCAGGATGATATGTCATGTTACTGACTGAATCACATTTAGGGCCCAGTTCTCATATGTGTAGAGGAATGCATCTTGGTTTATTTTTGCTTGACTCTAAATGAGTGTAACCTATGATGCCGAGTTGACACAATACAAGTGTTTTGTCACAAGTAATTTTTAAATTATTTGTAGGCTCAAATAATTCTATATGTCTTAAAACGTATTTACCATGCTATTTTTGAGGTGAGAGTATTTACACTACCTTATTTATATATGTAGGAGTCTTATGATACTTCTTTGTTTGATGCAGGCTATTTGATTCTGCTTTTTGTATTGTGGTTTTTTGTAGTTGGTTTTTAATTATTTAATTTTTTTTTTATTTTAGAGCTTGCTCCTCAAACTGAAGGCATATTTCCAGCCCCCCAACTTTGATTTTGTCTTTTCTTACAAAAGAGAGAGGGTTGTGTTTTTGTTGTTAGGTGCTTTTGAGCTATTTTCAACCCTTAGTGACTCCTTTGACACAGTAGAACTTCCCATAGGGTTTGCTAGTCGCTAGCCTTTATGGGAGCAGATGACCAGGTCTTTCTCCAGTACAACTGTTAGGTGGGTTCAGGCTTTCAGGCTGCTGTTTATTTAGTACACACATTCTTAACCATCTGTATCATCAGAGCTCCTTAAAAAGGCAACTCACTCACTCACTCATTGCCATCAAGTTGGAACCAATATAACTGACCTTTACAGCAGATTTTCAGCATCTGTAAGTCATACAGGAGGAGATTGCCTGTCTTTCTCCTGTGGAGCAGTATGTGGATTCAGACTGCACAAGCTTGGATCTCAAATCCCTGCACACTAGGCCACCGTGGTTGTTATGTCCTATCAAATCACATAGAACTCATGGCGACTCCTTGAACAATAGATCTGACTCTGTCCTGTCCTGTGCCATGTTTATCATCCTCAACACATTTGAGTCCATTGTCATAGATAGCCTTTCCTAACATGTCCAAAATGTGTGAGGCAAACTTCACCAACTTTTCCTCCAAGGAACATTCTGGTTGCACTTTCTCTAACACATAGATATTCCCCCCCCTTTTGAAAATCCATGGGATATTCAACACTCTTCTCCAACACCACAACTCATACGTATCAGTTCTTCTTCTTTGTCCAGCCCTCCAATGCAAATGATTAGAAAGCCTGTGGCCTGAATCATGCAAACCTTAGTCTTTAGATTTGACATCCTTGCTTTTCAGGACTTTGGAGTCATTATTGTTAGGTGCCATCGAGTCAAGTATGACTCTTAGCAACCCTGTAAACCCTGATGTGAACATTGTCCGTTCCGTGCCATCCTCACAATCTCTGAAACACTCAAGTCCATTGCTGCAGTCATCATGTAAACCCACCTGGGTGAGGGTCTTTCTGTTCTGTTCACGCCCTTGCACTTTCCCAAGCATGAAGTCCCTCTCCAAGGAATAACCTTTCCTAGTAACATGTCCAAAGTATGTGACATGAAGCCTTATCATCCTTGTCTCCAGTGAGCACCCTGGATGCACCTTCTCCGTGGCATACCTATTTATTCTTTTGGCAGTCCATGGCCTCTTTAACACTCTTCTACAACAGTACAGTTTAAAGGCATCAATTCTTCTGTCCTCCTTATTCATTGTCTAGGTCTCAGATGAATATCAAGTGACTGAAAAGAGCATGACCTGACCATCATTACTTCTCAATAATTTGGAAAGGTCCCTGACTCTCCAAATGAGGTCACCATTAGTTAAATATAATTTTGTTGTACCACCCTATAAGGTCTTTCTTTTACAAAATGGTTTAGTTCTCTAATTTTTTTTCTTTATCCTCTGTCCTGTTGCAATGCTGTAGAAGACTGGATTTTGTTATTCACATGAAATGAAAGTATTTTCATTGAGTTATGAGTGCTATGTTTACTATTTAGGAACTTTTAATAAAAGGATATTAACATCAAACAACAGTGTGTCAGAATGGTTTTATTCTTTAACTATAATGATGAGAAAATGATCTGTGTCAAAAATTGGAAGGAAATTTAGAAAGTAAAACCTTTTTGATTTATTATAGCATTGTGGGGGACTGATTTTTTTTCCCTCTTAAATTCTGCCAATGTTTTACTATAAATAATAATCAAAAGCATATTGTGCCAACTGAACTTCCTGTAAAATAGGCTGTAATGGCTTTTATTTTTTCATTCACAGGCATTACTACAGCTGCTGTTTGTGTTTATCCTGCCCGAGTAAGTGATGCTGTAAAAGCTCTAAAAGATGCAGGCTGTAACATCCCAGTAGCATCAGGTAAAATTTGTTGTGGCTTTTGCTGTCATTCTTCAGCATCTTCTTAATTCTTTAATCCGGACGTCTTGGGCTAATACATAGTCGTAGAATATGATTTTAATTGGGCTTCTGTATTTTATTAGTTCTATTTAGTAATTTTCTTAATATTTAGCAGACATTCTGTTCCATTTTAAGAATATATCCCTGCTCTTAAGAAAACTCAATTGTTTGGGAGTGATGGTCACATTGAAAAGAATCGTCCTGGAGGAAGATACATAAAATAGTAGAGATATGCAGAAGGTACACGTGGGACAATGAGTAGGAAATCACTTTTACGGCAGAGGTTGTTGTCACTCAGGAGTTTCCAGGATTGTTTTCTAGAGGTGTCTTAGTTACAATGCTGCTGTAACAGACATACCACAAATAAATGGTTTTAACACACTGAAATTTATTCTCTCATATTGGAGGCTAGTAGTCTGCGTTCAGAATACTAACTCTAGAAGTCTTTCTTCCTGTCCTTGTTCTAGGAGACTTCTGGTGCAGGGACCCTAAGTGCAAATGTTGCTCTCTGCTCCTGGCTTTTCTCTCATAGTTGTTTGTTGTTGCTCCCTCAAATCAGAACTGAACCGTAGTTGACTCTCCAGTGGGTTTTCCGAGTCATTTAATTGCATGAGGGGAGATTGTTTTTCCTTCTCCCTCAGCAACTAGTGGATTCTTAAATTGCAATCTTAATGGGAAGAGATTACCTATTGTTGTCTGTGGAGCAGCTAGTGGGCTTGAACAGCCAGCTTTTTAGTTAGCAGCCCAACACTTAACCTGCTATACCAGGGCCAACATTTGCTCATTTGTTTAATCATTTCTATATCTCAAGAGAGGTAGACTTAAAATAAAAAACTGATCCTATGAATTATTTCCCACTGTTATCATAACTGCCTCTAATCCAGCCATTGTTGCTGTTGTTGTTATGTGCCATCTAGTAGCTTGTGACTCATAGAGACCCTTTGCACAACAGTCCTAAACTCTGCTATCTAGTCGCACTGCCCCTGACACACCCATCCTGATGACCCCATCACTAAATCAATCCACCTCATAGAGGGCCTTTCCCTCCTACACTGTCCCTCCACCCTTCCAAGCATGATGTCCTTCTCCAAGGACCGGTCCCTCCTTACAACATGTCCAAAGTATGTCAGATGAAGCCTCAGAATCCTTGCCTCCAAGGAGCAGCCCGGTTTAACCCTCACCAGGATATAGAATCTGTTTGTTTTCTTAGCAGTTCATGGTACACTCAATAATCTTCTCCAGCACCACAGCCCAAAGGCATCACATGTTTGATGATACAGAAACATGTTCAGAGACTGAAAGTGATTTGCAGTTGTTGCAACATGAAATAGAACAAAGAGAAAGTTATGAGAGCTGGGAGGAGGAGAAGTAGACTGGTGCTAAATCAGCAATGTAGAGCCTGCCATTCAGCATGCCATTCTGTGGAGCTTGTAACTATTTTTCTTGGGATGCAGAAGACACTGAAATGTTTTCAGCAGAAGTACCATTTCATGGCATACTAAGTTAGCTTATAACAGTGGGTAGATTGGAAAGAATTGGAAATGAAGCTAAGAAAGGTCATCACATTTCATGGAGGAGATGATGAGAACCATACTAAGTTCTAGACAATAAAAGAGAAAGGATATTTCCATGATTTATTACTTGAAACAGACTCAATAGTACTTGTCATGAGTCTTAAAAGCTTCAGGTGAGAAAAATGCATATCTGTATGTGTGTGGCTTCGTAGACAATTGGATACAACTTCTAACAGGATCCTGATGCTTTAAAAAAAACAGTCTATTGCAACCATTAATTTATTTTATCAGGGATACATCAAAAGAAACATGGCATGCAATATTTATGTAGGATCTATTTGTGAGGATTCCCAAAGAACCTGGCAGCTATACCTTTGTAGCCCTTAATTTCCCATCAGCCCCAGTCAACTCAGCTTTTCCCTTATTCAGCTGGGAAATGTGCTTTCCTCTAAGGCTGCAGATCTAAAGAATTCAGTAACATGTGGAAACACAATAGGTTAACTTTAGATGTGGGAGTGAAATTAAAGATGCACATGTAAATATTAATACATAACTTTGGTAAAAATATAGTATTAGTTTTCCATATATTTATTCCTACCTCTACCTTCCCTAACTCTGTCATCACCCGCGTTTTGGGGACTTTAAGGGTGGCATGGCTGTGACTAACCTCCTTTGCTTATGAAGTGGAAAAATAAAAATCAGCATCAGCCCAAGATTGCTTTTTCTGAGGTAGATGCCAGATATACCTGCTCTCTGCAACATTTTTACCAGTTCTGACACCAATTGTCCCACTCCACAGCACTTCTCTGCTGGGTTCTATAATTTGTTGTGATGATCACACATAACTCACAGAAAATATTCACAGTTATGGGATGAATTAAGGAACTAACAAATTGTGATTTAGGTCTAGTACTTCAGGATACAAATTCTTGATCAGGATACCTTCTCTCTTTTCTCCTAGACTCAACCTCTAACCTAATGATTTGTAATATAGAACTGTGACTGTAATATAGAACATGTGGCACTATTCTTTGCCTTCCTGCATTTTTTACCTTAATTCTCCTATGTAAGAGGAGACCACAGTACAGTTTTGCTACAACACCTAAAGAGATTCATGGATAAATAAATAAAAATGTACAGTGACAGCCAATTTGTTCAAGAGTAAGGTCCATAAGTAATGAGTACTTACTTATTATTAAGTTGTTGTTGTTAAGTGCTGTGAAGTCATAGATGACTTATAGCAACCCTATGAATGAAAGACCTGGACATTTGTATAACTTATATTGTTTCTCATGTTCATAGAGTTTTTTACGCAATTATTTCGAAAGTGGATGCCACTCCTGCTTCCAAGCTTGTTTTAATTGGAAGCTCCACAAAACACTGTTTACCATGGGTAACCATTATCACATTTCCCACATTACTGTCACAGTATTTAGCATCACAGCATACACAAGTTACCTCTGTATAGACAGACCAGTGTTATACCACTTAGAAGAATGTTTGACCAAAACCAATTTACACCAGGCCTGAGGACTGCAGGCTTAAAGGTGTTTTAAAGTAGGAGGCCAAATGAAATGAACTCACATCCAATGATGAGTAAGTATTCCACTCTAATCCTCATCAGAACCAGAAAACAAACCTCTGTATAATCCAGCTGCTGCAGACTACTTCCAACCTGGATTCCAGCCCCATACTGCTTACAAAATGTGTTTTTAATCAGGAGGCCAATTCACATCAACTCGTTCCCATTAGTGAGTAAACATTCTAAAATGCTTGGGAAAAAGATGGACAGTCTTTTGCTGTTGAGAATTACGGACTCAAAAACCTCATGCAGAGTTCGTATATGTTGGAACTGACTTGATGTCCCAATTGTCAAGTTTTTGTTTTTAATTTAGATAGGATTGTAATTTGTGTTTTATGACAGTTAGTGTGACAATAGCCTATTTCCTTAATTGCTGATTACATAAGACATCTCATGAGCATCTCTGTTGCAACAAAGATTTGGTATTCTAGAAAACATGATGCTAAGAACATTTGTCCTATCATCAATACTATGAAATTGCCGTCCTTTTCCTTTAAAATTGTTTTGAAGGATATATGCAGTTCCTAATGCTGCCATTTCTATTTGTTCATTTTATTTTGTCTGAATGTTTTGGAGATATTGATCAATTAAAATTTGCTTTCTTTGTAATCTCTTCTCCTTTCTTTATTTCTTTTTAAAAAATTTCTTCCAGTGGCCACTGGATTTCCAGCTGGGCAGACTCATTTGAAAACACGATTAGAAGAGATCAGATTGGCAATTGAAGATGGAGCTACAGAGATTGATGTGGTAATTAACCGGACCTTGGTGCTGACAGGCCAGTGGGAAGGTAAGGCATCTACATATCATTAGAGGAGGTGTTACAATTCTTTGGAGATCAAATAAATGGTGGGAACCTAGTTGGCTGTTGCTGTGGAGTTGATTCTGACTCCTAGCAACCCCCATTGGGTTTCCAAGGCTATAAATCTTTACAGAAGGTTCTTTCTTCCTTGAAGCAGCTTGTGATTTTAAACTAATGACCTATAGGTTAGTAGCACAAGACATAATGTATTATGCCACCATAATACATTATGCATTATACCAGAGTTCCTCTGGTACCTGGTAGGAGGCAACATGTTTGGGAAATCACTGTTCTAGATTACAGATCACTAGATTAGAGGATAAGCCAAGGAGAAAACGTGGCTAGGATTGCTCATTCTGATGCTCCTTTTAAGTCTGTGTAGATGCTTATCTTAATGGAGGTTTTTGATACTTTTGTGTACATAGATGATAGTTATTTCCAAGTGGTAGATTAATAAACTATTTCATTTTCTTTTAATGTGTTGCTTTCCCTTGAGACAAGAAAAAACTAACTAATAATTTATACTGCTTTGTTCCTTAATATGCATATCATCCCAGGTAGTTCTTTTCTGCAAAGTTTAAGTATAAAAGAAAAAAGGTCCTTTTTAATGTTATTTGTTGTGGACTTTGAGGATGTAAAATTATGAATAGTGTGCTTAGATTTGCTAATCTGTTACTCCTAGTGTTCTTACCATATAGCTGTGATGAAGATCATTTCACATTCACCTTTGAGATTTAAGACTTATCATCACAACAAGACTGCAATAGGACATTGCCCGTTCCAGGAATAAGCTATTGTTTCTATAATTAGGTGGTAAAGAATTGAATGGATTTTGCCTCTGTCTTACATATATTATGCATACTAAAAATGAGATTGTTGATAGCTAAAATAAGTATAACTGTTAGTCATTCTAACAAGTAGTTTAATCAGAGACTTTCATTGAAATAACAAGATAAAGGCAGAATAATACATTGTCTCTTTAGATCTATGTTCCAAATAAAAGCTATATTTTATTCTGATTATGAAAGTTATACCTGCTCATTGTTTAAGAGAAAAAAAAGTCCCCCAAAACAACAAACCAATTGTAAGAACAGGAAAAGATATAGCCCCTGATTAACACTACAATGCATAGCTTTCTAGGCTTTTCTCCTCCTCTTGTGAATGCATATGCATACTTTCCTCTATTTTATTATTACATTTAATATATTTTCCTTAACCCACTTATTGCACTTGCCAATGTCTTATGGGCATCTTTTTATGACCTTTTCTGTCCATGTATTTATCCATCTTATTCTCTGCAAAGCCCAATTTGTTTATCAGTTATAAAATGGCTAGGTTATGGAGTAATAAAGATTTAATCAGTGGTTTAAATACTCAAAGATCTGTTCTCTTAATTAAATGAAGTAGGTAGATGGTTCTTCGATGTTGTGGCAGCCCGACAAAATTCTTGGAGACTTAGGCTTTGGTGGTGCTGTGAGTAGGGAATTCTGTTGTCATCTAAAAGGTTAGTGGACCCAAATATACCAGCTTGGGCAGTCTGCTTTTGTAAAGATGTACAGCCTTGGAAAATGCTATTGGGCAATTGCATTCTGCTCTATAGGGTTGCTGTGAGTCAGAGTTGACTTGATAGCAACCAATTGGGGTTTGGGTTTTGTTTCTATTTTTTTTTTTATATAGCTATCTCTTCTCTCATATATTAATTGTACTTATCTACTTTTATTCACATAGTTAAGATTCAGTCATTATTTAAGATTTAAAGCTAAAGTAAGAGGAAAATAGCATTTAAAGCAAATCTGGGAAGAAAATATTTTGTTTAGTTGGATAAAGACCTATATGTCCCTTATGTCCTTTCCTAAGTATTTGAGGATATAAAAATATAATTTTTGTTTTAATGTTTGCTCTTGTCTATGAAAAACAGCTAATTAGGAAATAAAATATAATAGGTGATAGGCTTTTATGTAATTGGCTATTCTTTAATGAACTAGGAATAGTTGTCTCTAACAACTGATCACTTCCCAATAACATGTAGTCATGTAAAACAAAATAGCACCTCTTTGCCCTAGACCATACTTTTCTATTAACTCTGTTTTTATGGTGTTACTAACCTCTTGACCCAAAACAAATTGAAAAGGAACATTTAATATTAGAAATTCAATTCCACATAGAAACCTGTACTGACTTGGGTTTTCCTTCACTGTATTATTTTGTCTTAATTTTGATTCATAATTTGATTACATATTATAGTTTTTAAAATCATTTTTAAAAATTAATTTTAATGAAAATTTAGACTTTGGATTTCCATTCAGTCATTGTTGCACTTTTCTTCCTGCCCACCCCTCTCCCCACAGTGCACTCTTCTCTTTGAAAAGTCAAAGAAAAGTTCCCCCATTGTTTCACAATCTCTTTCTCACAGGTCTATTCCACTATGCAGCCTTCGTTCTGGACTCCTGTCAAGACAATGATACCTAATCACATATCCCTTTTAAGCAGTTTTCTCCCTCATCTGTTTCAGTGCAGTATACATTATTTAACTGCATCTTTCTCAGTCTCCCCCAACCCTTATGTCAGTCCTGTTTTGCAACAGTGGCAATATGCAGTATTTGTCCCTTTATGACTGAGATATTTCACTCAGCATAATGTCCTCCATGGTCACCTATTTTGAATAATATTGTGTGAGTTCCTTGTTTTACAATGCAGTGTAGTATTCCATTGTGTGAATATACCACAGCTTCTCTATCCATTCGTTTGTTGATGGGCACTTAGGTTGTTTCCAACTCCTTGCTATCACAAAGCCGTGATGAACATGGATGTGCATATATCTACTTGGGTGTCAGTTATGGTCTCTTTGGGGTATATTCCCAGTAGTGGAATTGCTGGGTCAAATGGTATCTCTATTTGCAACTTTTTGAGAAAGCACCACAACACCTTCCACAGTGGTTGCACCAATTTACACTTCCACCAACAGTGAATGAGGGTTCCAGTTTCTCCACAACATTTCCAGCATTTGTTGCTTGCTGTTCTGTTAAATTTTGCTATTCTTACTGAGGTGAGATGATATCTCATAGTTGTTTAGTTTTTACTCTTTTTAAATATTAGCTGTTTACTAAAACATGGACTTTCATTTGTTGGGATTTGCTGATTGACATTTCTGTCAAGTTACTTGAAGTTCAAATCTAAGGCCCTTTCCTTTGTTCCTTGAGGAATGCAGCACACTCATTAGCTAAAATAGAGAGAATCCCATTTTTTAAACTTACCCTTTCTGAGTGCATTCTTACTTTCTCTGATGGTAGTGAAACTCTAGGGCCCAAAATTTAGTCTGGAAATGGGCAGAGGCTCATACTTCTCTTCTTTGGTGATGTTTTAAATCATCATTCTTCTGGAAGCAGGGCTTTATGAGGAGCAGTGTGGCATTAGGACTGAGGAAGACTCATCAACAACCTACAAGATGCAGATGACACAACCATGCTTGTTAAAACTTACTGCAGGTCAAGGACTGTTAGTCTTCAATATAGATTGAAGCTCAACATCAAGAAGACAAAGATTCTCACCACTGGGCCAATTGGCAGCATCATGATGGATGGAGAAGAGATTGAGGTTGTTAACAATTACAGCTTGTTTGCCTCCACAATTAATATTCTTAACACTAGCAGTCAGGAAATCAAAAAATTAATTGCATTGGGAAAATCTGCTATCAGACACTACAGCTCAAGCACATCAATTCTTCTTCTGTCCTCCTTAGTCTTTGTCCAGTTCTCAGAAGCATAGCAGGTGATTGAAAAGACCATGATCTGAATCAAGCACACCTTAGTCCTCAAACTAACATTGCTTCTCAGTCATTTGGAGAAGTCCCTGACTGCAGCCTTTCCCAGTGCAGTGTTGTTATTGTTTTCTGTGCTGTGGAGTCAGCTGCATTTTTTACACACCTATCCTCATTACTCTGGTTACTGTATCAATCCAACTCATCCAGGGTATGTCTCCTGATCTTCTGACTGCTGTACCAAGTATATTGATTGTGGATCCAAGTAAGAGGAAGTTGTTGACAGTTTCAGTCTTTCCCCTGTCTATTATTATTATATCACCTTTGTGCCCATTGCTGAGAATTTTTGTGTTCTTGACATTGAGATGCAATCCATAGTGGAGGCTGCATTCTTTGATCTTCTGTAGCAAGCGCTTCAAGTCCTCCTCACTTTCAGCAAGATAGATTGTGTCATCTGCATACCAAAGGCTATTAAAAAGTTTTCTTCAATACTGATGCCATATTCTTCTTCACAGAGTCCAGCTTCTCCAATAATTTACTCAGCATACAGATTGAATAGGTATGGTGAAAGGAAGGACAATACCCTCTCCAAGGCAGCTGTCGTCCAAACTTGATATAATTAGGAAGGGCCAGTTCCTTGTGAAAGACATCATATTTAGTGAAGTAGAAGGTCAGTAAAACAAAAAAAAAAGAAAGAAGCCTCTGGACTAACACCATGGCTACAACAAAGGAAAAAGAAAATAGATTATTAAACAGAAGCTCTCTCAAGTTTTTTGTGTCAGATCTTCTTTCCATTTTATCTTCTGTTAGTGAATTGAAAACCTCCTGATGTTGAGATGATTCTAACTCATAGTGACCTTCCCCTGGGTCTCTGAGACTGTAAATGTGTGTGTGTGTGTGTGTGTGTGTGTGTGTGTGTGTGTGTGTGTGTACCAGCAAATCAGATCTGACTGGTACAGGAGGAGATTGTCTCTCCTTCTTCAGCAGAGCATCCAATGGATTTGAACCACGCACCTCTAGGATTACAGTACAGCTTCTTGCCACTGGGCAACCAGAGCTCGCTGAGACTGTACATCTTTAAGAGAAAAGATACCTATTTTTTTTTATTCTCTGGAACAACTGGTAGATTCAAACCAGTGATCTTTGGTAGTTCAAATCTATCCGTTTCCAAGGTAGAAAGGTGGCAATCACCTCCTGTAAAGATGTATCACCTTGGAAAACCCAGTGGAGG